TGGTGGGTTTTGGTGGGTTATGCACGGCCCAGGTGGGGAACACAAGGAAGGAGGGATATGGCAGGTTCTTTGGCTTCTTATGAGTTGGGTTTTCTTGATGAATTATGAGCCAGTATATGCTGAATTGTTCTTGGCCTGTTATGGTTGTTTATTCAGCTTGGTTGGGGAAACACAAGGGGACCACTGCTAGTACTCATTGGAGAAATAATGGGTTGGGTTTTGGCTCCTAGTTTTCGGCCATTCCAGGAAAAAGAAAAGGGTTTGTGGATTTACCATGTGGTTTGAAGTGTGATGAGGTGTTGTGGGGGTGTGTGGGTTTGGGCAGGGTAAAAAAAAGGAAGGGACTTGGGTTTGATTTGGATATTTTGGAGGGGTGGTTTTGGGTGGTACTTTTCGGCCATCAAGGTGGGGGAAGGTCCAATAGGACCAGGGTTGGGTTGTATGGTTTATGGGTGATGTGACTCGAGGATCGTTGTTGGTGGTCGGGGGTATATCATCCTCTCCTTCTTCAGAAGAGTTTGTCCTCAAACTCGGCAGTTCCTCAGGCTCGAAGTACGGGCTGATGTCCTTGATATTGAAAGTAGCCGATACTCCATAATCTCCCGGAAGGTTAATCTTGTAGGCATTGTCGTTGATTTTCTCTATCATTTCAAACGGGCCATCGGCTTTTGGCAGCAACTTTGACTTGCGTTTCGTGGGGAAACGCTCTTTCCAAAGGTGAATCCAAACAAGGTCTCCTGGCTGGAAGTGGACGTTCTTCCTTCCTCTGTTGATGCGTGCGCTTACCTTCTTGTTCATAGCCTCAATCTTCTCTCGAACCCTAGCGTGAAGGTCTTGGATTTCCTTTGACCGCTTGTCTACTTCCCAACTGTATTTGGTTTCCGTGATGATCGGATCAAGTTCAAGTGGGGTCAAGGGGTTCGAACCATAGACCACCGTGAATGGGGATAGTCCGGTAGTCTTGTTCGGGGTTTGGTTGTAGACAAACTCGGCGTGCGGAAGAAGCTCCTCCCATTGCTTGATATTCTTCTTGATGAGGGCTCGTAAGAGTGTTCTAAGGGTGCGGTTGGTGACCTCGGTTTGGCCATCAGTTTGTGGGTGGCTTGACGTACTAAACTTCAGTTTAGTACCCAATTTTCTCCAAAGAGTCGTCCAAAAATGACTAAGGAATTTGGTGTCTCTGTCCGATACCATGCTTCGAGGAACGCCATGGAGTTTGACTATCTCTCGAAAGTAGATATCTGCAACTTTTGAAGCATCATAAGTGGTAACACATGGTACGAAATGGGCCATCTTTGAGAAACGGTCCACGACAACCATGATCAAATCTTTGCCCCGCTGCGTCCTCGGTAGCCCGGTGATGAAATCCAAGCTAATATCTTCCCATGGTGCACAAGGAACGGGCAGTGAGTGACTCTTTGCTAGGTGGCATGTGTTGCAATGCTTGAGAAAATGCTCGACGTCTCGTTCCATCTTTGGCCAGTGGTAATGCTCCTTCATCATCATGTGAGTCTTGTCGACTCCATAATGACCAGCTAGGCCTCCTCCGTGGACTTCTTCAATGAGGGTTTCGTGCATACTGCATTTCGGGGCGCACAGTTGGTTACCACGGAAGAGATAACCGTCTTTGACAAGAAAATCTCCATAGGGCCGAATGAGGCACTTAGAATAAATGTCCTTGAAGTCTTCATCTTCCTTGTACAGCTCCTGCAAAAACTCAAAACCAACAAGTTTGGTACTAAGTACCGTTAGTAATAAATGCCTTAGGGACAAGGCATTGGCGCCCTTGTTCATGGTTCCGTTCTTGTGTTTGATGGTGAAGGTGAAGGTTTGGATATACTCGACCCATTTAGCATGCCGAGGTCGGAGTTTATGTTGCCCTTGGATGTATTTTAGCGCCTCATGGTCGGAATGTAAGATGAATTCCTTGCTCACGAGATAATGGCGCCAATGCTCAAGTGACCGTACCAATGCGTAGAACTCCTTGTCGTATGTGGAATATCTTCTTCTTGTGTCGTTTAGCTTCTCGCTAAAGTATGACACCGGGTGCCCTTCTTGGGAAAGGACAGCCCCGATTCCAACTCCCGAGGCATCACACTCGACCTCGAATAGTTTGTCAAAACTAGGAAGGGCTAACACGGGGGCACATGTTAATCGCTCCTTGATTGTCTCAAAGGCCTGTTGGGCCTTAGAATTCCACTCGAAGTTCTTATTTTTTGTCAAATCCGTGATAGGTGCCGTGATGGTGCTAAAATCCTTCACGAATCTCCGGTAGAAAGATGCAAGTCCATGAAAACTTCTAACTTGCTGCATAGACGTGGGAACGGGCGAGTCCCTTATGGCCTGAGTCTTTTTTTCATCAACTTTGATTCCTTCACTCGAGATAAAGTATCCCAAGAACTCCGTTTCCTGGGAAAAGAATTGGCTCTTCTCAAGATTCCCGTACAGCTTCTCCTCGTCTAACTTCTTAATCACCAAAGTAAGGTGATTAGCATGGTCTTCCTCATTTTTGCTATAAATCAGAATGTCGTCAAAGTAGACAACGACAAAATGACCTATAAACGGCTTCAAGACCTGATTCATAAGCCGCATGAACGTGCTCGGGGCATTGGTTAATCCAAATGGCATAACCAACCATTCGTATAACCCAAACTTCGTCTTGAACGCTGTCTTCCACTCGTCTCCGTCAAAGATTCGAATTTGATGATATCCACTCCTAAGATCAATTTTTGAAAAGATCTTAGAGCCATGCAATTCGTCCAACATGTCTTCCAAACGGGGAATCGGGTACCGGTACTTGATAGTGATCTTGTTGAGAGACCGACTACCGCAACACATACGCCACGTTCCATTTTTCTTGGGTACCAAAAGTGCCGGGACAGCACACGGGCTAAGACTTTCTCTTACGAAGCCCTTGGCTAACAACTCATCAACTTGACATTGAATTTCCTTCGTTTCTTCGGGGTTCATTCGGTATGCGGGTTTGTTGGGTAGGGCAGCCCCCGGAATGAGGTCAATTTTGTGTTGGATGTCTCGTTTAGGAGGGAGACCGTGTGGAACATCATTGGGGAAAACATGGGCATATTCTAGGATGATAGGCTCGGCTAAGGGATGAGGCTGTCTTGGGTAGTTTGATGGTTCGGCTTCTCCATCTTCCAATAGGATCAAATCTTTAATCCCATGGAATTCATGTTTTTCTGCTTGAAGGATAGTGGAGATAAGAACGGGAGGTTGTTCTTTGGTTGGTTTGGCCGTGGGTGTAGGAGGAGGTAAAGGGGTAAGGGTGATCTTCTTCTTATTCATCAAAAATGAATAAGTATTGGCATAACCATCATGTTGCACTCGGTGATCAAAGAGCCATGGTCATCCCAAGAGGATGTGGCAAGCATCCATCGGGATGATATCACACCACACGTCATCTTTCTACGAACTGCCAATGCTCAAGGAAATGAGACTTTGTGTGTCAACACGTAGACCCTTGCCATGATTCAACCATTGAATCGTATATGGTTTCGGGTGTGGTGACGTCTTCAAACGCAGCTTGTCTACCATGGTTTTGGAAGCCACATTGGTGCAACTTCCACTATTGATGATGAGGGAACACACCTTCTTTTGGACAGTGCAACGGGTGTGGAATATGTTTTCTCGTTGTAGTTGTTCCTCGGGGCATGATAGAGTGCTCAACGTCCTTCGGATGACCAAGAGTTCGCCATCATCGGGACCTACGTACTCATCTTGTTCTTCCACTTCTTCCGCTTCTTCTTCAACCCAAGTTGGGTCAAATTCTTCTTCATCACATTCGAAAATGGCCATCACCTTCTTACTAGGACATTCATTGGCATAATGACCTCGTCCTTGGCGCCGAAAGCAAACAGGTGCTTTCTTGGTGGGATCAGCCCGGGGTGTGAAAGAGGAGGAGGGGTTTCTTGAGGTAGATGGGGAGGAGGAGGAGGGGTTTGTGCCGTGGGCAGTAGTGGGAATTTTGGGGGTAGTGTAAGGTAATTTTGATGAAGGGTAAGGTGGTTTGGATGTGGAGGAGTAGGGGCGTGGGGAAGGGGTGTTATTTTTGGATAAAAAGGCTTTGGATTTCTTATGTTGAGCTTCAACTTTGAGGGCCAACTTTGTGAGTTCTTCAAGAGAGTCGTAACTTTGGAACTCCACCGTGTTGGCTATTTGCAGGTTTAAGCCGAATAGGTAACATCTCAGAATTTTGCAAGTCACATCTCAGCAAGAGCTCTTCAAACTCCCGGTTGTATTCTTCAACGGATTTAGAACCTTGTCTAAGCGTTTGAAGCTTAGAAAAATTCTCACGAACATATTCGGCGGGTAAAAACTTCTTTTATAGAAGGGACCTCATCTTTACCCATGTGGACACCGGTTCCTTGTCGTTTCTTCTTCTCTTGGTGCACGTATTAGTCCACCAAGTTGATGCATACTTTCGGAACTTTAAGGCCACTATCTTGACCTTCTTTTCGTCGGAAACATCTTTGAAGTCAAAGACGTGTTCCACTGATTCTAGCCACTCGAGGAACTCGTCCGGGTCGTTCTTCCCTTCAAAAGTTGGAATGTCAACTTTGAAGTCAGAACCTTCATTGGCTTTAGCTTTCATGGTTCCACTAGAGCTAACGTCTTCTTCACGGTCACTTCCTTGGAGCTCGTTGAGTTTCATCTTCGTAAGCTTGGCTACCTCTTTAGCCAAGTACTCTACTTGTGCTTTCAAGGCTGTATTTGAGGCAATGAGCTCTTCATGGGACATAGTTCGAGATTCATTTGACATGGTTGAAGTGGGAAAAAGGTGAGGAAGGTTGTTTAGTTGGGCTATGGGGATTGTTAGGGAAGAGGGAAGGGAGTGATGGTGGGTGGCCCTTGGGGATGTTCAACACTTAGCTCTGATACCAAATGTTATACCCAAGCTCAGGGTTTTATAGTTACAACCTCTTTATTTGCAGGGAGGTGGTGATAATCGATTGTCCTAAATGGATAATCGATTATGGACGGCTGCAGGTTCTGGGTAGTTTTTCTGGGAATTTTCTGAGAAGGATAATAATCGATTGATGGAACAGTGGACATCGATTATTGAAAAGTGCAGAGTTCTGGGAAAGGCTGGTAATCGATTATCTGAAAGTCATAATCGACTATTGGAGGCTGCAGATGTTTTCACGAGGGATAGATAATCGATTTCTTGTAGCGATAATCGATTATTTGACAACTCGAGACAAGAAAAGAAGTATTTCTTTGGGAAAAGCCAAGTTGGTGTTAAGAGATATCACACACTCTTATCTTAACTTGGGGTTGAGTCTAGCATTCAAATAAGATATCACACACTTATTTAAATAACTAGAACCTAAAACTCACACTCAAGAGAACCGCTCTCAAGATATAGGATTAGGAATTTGGAATGAAACACACAAGTGAATCACTTTGATTAAAATGGAAAATACAATGTGTTTA